CCCTTCAGTTTTGCTTTGGCTTTGTGCCTCAGGTTATTGTCCTCCTGACGTGTGAATTTCCAATTCAGTTTTAGATTACTGGATGAATTCAAGTAAACTTTGTACTGTACCATCCTTCCTCCCCCTGTCCTGACAAGATTCCCAGTCCATTTCTAATGAGAAATACCCCCGTTATGTGACCCTGCCACCACCATGCCTGACAGTTGGGACTGTGCTGAAACAGTTTTGTGTTTAGTTGGACTTGAATCAGATGTAAATTTAGAAGAAAAGTTTCTTATGTCACTTGTAGTCATAAATCCTTCTCTCAAATGTCTGTATTTTATCTTATATAAGATTTAAGATTAGTCTGCTCAGTAAAGGTTTTTTGCTCCTTAAAATACCTGTGCAGGCCAGCTTTGTAAAGAAACAAGGATGTTGTTGGTTTATGAAAAGTGACTAACATTTCAGGCATAGAACTTTGTGAATCTTTCAAAGTAACTGTTGGCTTCACTAACCCATATCGTGAATACTAGGCTAATCAGTTTGGAAGGGCAGCTTGAATTGTACTGTAAGATTACCTTTAAGTGAGAAAAAGTACCTATTTGACTTTCAAAGGAATGTAATAAAGATTGTTTCCAAAGAAAGCACTATTATTTAAAAGCTTGTGTTGTAAATGAGCCCAATCACTGTAAACTCAATGAAAATCTATAGGAAATCCCAATTAGTTTCTTGGCAGCCTCCTGAAATTTCATAAGCTTTCGCATAATTGGAATAATTCCTCTTACTCTAAAGTCAGGTTCTTGGATCTTTACCTACATAGCCTGGCCTACATGATAAAATATATAATAATAATAATAAGAATAATAATAATAATAATAATAATAATAATAATAATAATAATCTATGTATGAGTACAGTGCTATCTGCATGGAGTTTGCATGTTCTTTCAGTGTTGTTGTGGGTTTCCTCTGGGTGCTCTGGTTTCCTCTCCAAGTCCAAAGATATACTAGTAAGTTAATTGGCTAGTGGATTTAATTGGATAAATACAGGGTATTTGGATAGTATAAACACGTGAATACTATAAACTATATGTGAATGCAGCCAGCTGCCATATCTCCCTGCAACTCACAACTGGCAGCCCACTGAAGCTAAGCAGCTAAGCCTGGTCAGTACCTGGATGGGAGATCTCCTGGGAAAAACTAAGGTTACTGCCGGAAGAGGTGTTAGTGGGGCCAGCAGGGGGTGCTCACCCTGTGTTCCATGTGGGTCCTAATGCCCCAGTATAGTGGCGGGGATACTATACTGTAAAATCCCAGGGCGTTTCTCGTAAAGAGTAGGGGTGTAAATTGGCCTTTACCAATCATGGCCTCCTAATAATCCCCATCTATGAATTGGTTTCATTACTCTGCTCTCCTCCCCTGATGTGTGGTGAGTGTTCTGGCGCACTATGGCTGCCGTTGCATCATCCAGGTCGATGCTGCACATTGGTGGTGGAGGGTAGTCCCCATTACCCCATTACCTATTGCAAAGTGCTTTGAGTGGAGTGTCCAGAAAAGCGCTATATAAATGTAAGCAATTATTATTTTTATTATTATTAGTTATTATTACTAGTTTTATTATTACTAAAAAAAAACATGCAAGAAGCTGATGGAAATGCACTGAATTGTGCCTTTAGGGACATGTCAGATTATCTGAAAATCAATACATCTGAAAAAAAACCTCTCCAAAACTGGATGTTCAAGAGAAGCGATGGGTCACTTAAAATATACGTAAAGCTAGTATTTACTATCAGTTATTGGTGAGCAAATGTTTAAAATGGCAGCATTTCAGCTATAGATTTGAGCATTTAATTCATAAGACGAAGTCCAATTAAATCAGTGTACATAATTTATAGTACATTTTTAATAACGATAAATATACATAATATTAAATTAGGCATTGTAATCATGGAATTAGAGTATATCAGGGTTTTCTTGAGCTGCACCAATTGTAGTGTCATTTCCAGATGTGTGTCTAATTATTATACTGCTAGTTTAAGTATAAGCTTCTCAATGGAGTCCATGTAAATTGGGGTGTAGGAATAGCCATTGTCTACCCATCTACGCACCTTAGCACATGCTGCTACCAAAACCCTAACACTCTAACCCTATCTGCTCTACATTTGTATGCAATTGATTCAAAATGAAGATTGCTCCTGACTCAGGTCAACTCAGGGGGTATGAGCTACTGCCTACAGACACTTAATTTTGGGACTATGCAGTAACTAGATATAAGTGCGATCATATGGGATAACTGTCTGCCCCCAAAAATAGTTCTGTTGACAAGTAAAGCAATCAAATACAAAATTAAGTAAAACATAGTTCCTGAAATTTACGGTAAATTTCTCAGTTTGTTTTGATCAGTTATAGTTCCATTGGCAATCCAAGAAGAGTAATCAAGTGAGCATTGCTGTGTAGAATATTGCATTGAGTACAGTATAACTAACCTTTCTTAGAAACGGATAGGAAGGGAATGCTGGCCAGTGTAAACTAGTGATTGAAGTCTGATACAGGGCTATTGAAGGACAAAGCTAATGGCATGGAAGTTTGGGTAGCTAACACTTTTTATAGCCTTAGTTTTTCTCTTTGTAAAGATTTCAAAGGTACTTTGTGAGATGCTCACAATAGTTAAACATTCATGCTGTGAGCACATGTTGCATTTATATAACCACACATCCAGGAAAGCACTGCAAGGTATTAATTAGACTAACTGATTTTGATTTATTCCTTACTGTAAGTAGAGCACACTGTGTATTCTTCTCTTGGATGCTAAATATAAACAATTACAACAATTTCATTTATCATTCTCTTTTTAGTAAATTGACAGTTTCACTGCTAAAAGCCTGAAATTTTTCTACTTTTATGGCAATTAGGAATTTTCCAGTACTCTATTCTGGGAAAATAGCAGGCAAACATCATATTAAACCAATTAATTCTTTATTCAGTTATTTCAGTGTTAGGAGTTTTTTCCTTTTAATTACTTTTCAATCACACTGAGAATAAATATACAGTGCAAATAATCGGGGCGGAGCGGTGGCTCTGTGGCTAAAGACAGTTGGTGGTTCAAATCCCACAGCAGGCAGAGGAATCCTACTCTGCTTGGCTCCTGAGCAAGGCCCTTAACCCCAACAGCTCCAGGGGCGCTGTACAATGGCTGACCCTGTGCTCTGACCCCCAGCTTCTCCCTCTCTATCTGTCTGTCTGCGTGTCTCATGGAGAGCAAGCCGGAGTATGCGAAAAGACAATTTCCTAATGCACTTGTATATGGCTAATAACGTGATCTTATCTTAAATAAAACAATTACAAGCACAGGAATATCTATTCATGGTTACTCTGTGTTTTTCATTTCTGTATCTATTCACTGTCTACCAGTATCTACCGTGGTAAAAGGTTTCAGTTACTTGTTTCAATGATGTAAATAACTTGTGTAAACCGTTTGGATAAGCATATGTTATCCATTTATTACCATGGAAAATTCAGAATATGTGTTAACTGAGCCAAGATACCATTTAAACAATTTTACTGAAATTTATACTTTAGTTTTCTTTGTAATGAGTAGTGTTAAGTTAAAGGAAATAAACAGATATTGCATTATGTCACTTTTGGGATATTTTTGTACCATATGTACCATCTGCTTTAAATAATTTTGCTCTGAAAATAATACTAATCCCAATCGTGTTTAATGGAAGTGTGTAAATATGTATTAAAAAAAAACAGTTTTAACAAAAGGAAGTCTCAAAGGCAAGTAAGATTTCATAAATTAAACTATATAATGTCATACACTCCTGTAGCAGTGCATGTTTAGCTACAGATTCTTGTACAGAAGAAGTGCAGACTAAATATTGTACAAATATATAATAAAATCTAACCATAAACATATTGTGCATATATGCAAAAATATTGTATACATATATACATGTAATACATGGCAGTTTTACAGAAAAAATATAATGATAATTGTATGTTGAAAGGTTTAAGTTTAATCATGCAATACAAAGCTAAACGCCATTGGGAAAATCTTTCTTCCTGTTTTTCCACAGAGGTGTTCTGGAATCAGAATTGAACACAATCCAGAAAAAGCAGATGAATAAAAAAATGTTTTCCTTCAATGCAATCCTTCAGATGAACACCTCTGCAGTTCCTGAGTAGTTTGCGTCAGACTTTATACCTTTTCTCAGGTTCTGAGAAATTTCTCGACATTCCTGTTTATTCGGTGGTGTTTAATTATTATTATCCAAGCCTCAGAACTTTAGTGGGGGTAAAGTGGTGAATGCCTCCAGTCATTTTCTGTACACATACAGTCATGCTCGTTCTGGCTGAGACTGCAGGGTGAGGTACAGTAGCTGAGGCACAGCAGCCAGTGATTTCATCAACCTGTCTCCCTTCTCTGGCTGCAACGCACTGAGTTCCCATTTCCCTAGCAAGCCAATGCACCAAATAAGCCTATGTGTGGGGCTACCAAGCTTGCCTGTTGCTCAGTAATTGGGTTCTCTACATTCCTGAATCACACTCCAAATCCCACTTTGGGAGTGCAATATTACACATAAACAGTTCTTTTGCTGAGTAATTAATTCCATTCATTCAGTCATCCATTTTCTTACCGCGGCCCATCTTATTCTGGGCCACGGCGAAACCAGAACCTATCCGGGCAAGCAAGGGGTGCAAGGCAGGATACACCCTGGATGGGAGGCCAGTCCATTCCAGGGAACACACAGACACAAATACAGAGATGCACACACTCATACAGGGCCAATTTTCCCAGAAGCCATTTAACCTGCCAGTATGTCTTTGGACAGTGGGCAGAAACTGGAGCACAGGGAGGAAGCCCACACAAACATAGGAGAGTACATACAAACTCCACACAGACAGCACCACAGGTAGCAATAGAACCCTGGGCCCCAGTGCTACGAGGTAGCGTGCCGCACTTAAATGTTTTATTCCTTTTTTTTAATTTAGAAGTTATATAAACCATTTCTTACTTACCTTGCCCAAACCTTGCTGTCTTATGAATCTCTTTAGCTCCCTTGTATCCCAGCATCCTGCAGACTACATCTCCATCCTTTTTGTCCCAGACATCATCACAGACAGTGCCCCAGCGCTTTTCATGGTAAACCTCCACCCTCCCCTCGTGAGGCCCAGATCCATTCACCAGCCGGATTATGTCTTCTTGCACTGGACAGACAACAGAGTGCAAAAACACTGAGATATTGAGCAAGTGAACAAGAATCTCTTTAAAAGAAACATGGCTGACTTGTCTTTTAATGATGGAAACCACCTGAAAATGTGACTAAGATGTTATGTTAACAGCATTTTAACTTTTTAGGATTTTTTGCATAAAAAACACTAAACATAAATATACCAACTGTTCTTTGTTGTCCTTAAGGTATTTGGTGTATTTAAATTTAATAGCTTGAATATTTGGATGAACACCTTTTCTTTTCTGGGTTTGGCCTCAAACCTGTTCTATATTTAGTGTTTAGTATGAAAGTGTTTTGAAATGGATTGGAAAATACTTTTTAACTCTATGAAACTTTATTTACCTTATTATCGGCCGGATAATGTCATACTTCAAACAGACTGTTAATCTCAAGTTTTTTTTCAATCCAGTGAAAAAAAAACATCTTGTCAAATGTGTTGCAGAAACTGTCCAACTCTTAACCTAGAATGTGTCTGCCTGAATTAAAACATGTGTCTGCAGAAGGAGTTTTTGTAACATTATTACAGATCATTTGTGGAACAGCTCAGGAAACGTAATGAACAAACTGTGTCATGAAATAGGCTCAGGGTATCTCGTCTCTTCTCTACAATATTTTTTTTCACAATCTAAACATCAATAAAAGAGAAATAATATAAATAAAAACTTACACTGCAAAAAAACAATCCATATCCTGGGCCATATGTCAACATTTTTGTATTTGTATTCTATATAAAAAGAATGCACCTTGGAATGCAGAAATGATATGTAATTGTAACATGTTGCTGAGAAGGTATTAAGACAGTGACATGTTTTCATGAAATGAACCCAAGAGCAGGCAGATAAACATAGGCAAACAGCAAACAACCTAAAAGGTATTGCAGCCAGCAGTGGACACAGATGGGTGCAGAGAAGGTGAACACAGACAAGCACAATCTAGAACTTTAAACAGGGACAAGAAAAGTTCAAAACCAAGAGACACAATACAACGAACCAGAGGAGAATCAGGAAAATGATGTTTCCAGAGACCAGGAAACAAACACCGTGAGGAACGTGGCAACTTACAGTAATGTTTGAAATCTATGACAGAGTTCTTGAGCACTGCCAGAACACGGCCCACAGTATATAGTCTTGAAACACCTGAGACAGGCATGGTGGAGTATTGCCTCCAGGTGGTACAAGACTCCTGTTGAATTAATTACCACTGTAACCAACACTGAATGACAAGTGGCCACTTAACGTATTAATATTAAATCGTACCACTGCTCATCTGTGGTGACAAGCACGACAATAAAAGCCCATAAGTGAAATAGGACAGAAAACATATGAAAAAGGAAAGGGAGACAGCCAGAACACCAGTGTTCCAGACTAGCCATCACACTACTGAAGATTTGAAAGCAGTCATTCCATTTCACCTAACATAAACACTGCATTTGCAAAATGTAACTGTAGATTTCAGAAAGTAATTATTTATTATTATTTGAATATAGAGATGGAAAATACTACAATGTTCTCTATTCAGCTCTGAGTTTCAAAATTTTAAAGATAAATTATATGCTAATATGGTTTATGTTAAAATATAAAGAATATTTTAAAGTATATACAGTATGTGCTATTAAATTAATTCAACAAATCACTGCTAAGTGTCAGTCTAATTTCTAGTCATCTTGACTTTTCCTTATCATGTTTTTGTAGAATTTCCTAAATATTCCAGAAAGATAAGGACAGATTAAATAAAAAATTGAATTAACCCACCAAATACAAATCATGAAAGCTGGATTTAATGACAGCCTTTTGGTGTCAGAACATCTTGATTCTACGCAATAGGAACAGAGCAACAAACAGTTGGATAAAGCTGCACATCCCTGCTTCCTTCCCGTGATCTGATCTTTCTCTTTTTCCAGACTTTCACACACTCCATTCTCTACCAAGAGACTTGCTGTTATCCAATGATCCCCCCTTTCTTGCCCTCAGCACCACTTTCCTGACATTCTCCTGCTGCCTAAACAGCTTGAATGGGATCTGCGCTTAACACTACCACTGGGATCTGACTCTTATAAAAACAATTCCACTGGGTTTCTTGCCTAAACATGTTTTCGCAAGAAAATAGCTTCAAATCGTGGCCTTTATCTTTGTTCTCTTTAATATAAATGATATTTTCTTATCTGACATTTTATAAGTTGTTTTCATTTAAATACTTTGCACAGATACTATTGTAATTCCTCTGTGTAAACGTACATATTTCATTTTATTGTGAAATATAATTATGTATCTTTTATGAGGAACATATTTGCAAGCCTGTACATAAAACCATTAAGAGGTTATGTTAATATGTTTTAGTCACTGTGTAACAGGGAATAGCACAGGAATATGATCATACAGAAATCACAATTTTGTTAAGGTGACAGTTAAGGAGCTTGATTGTGTGTAAAGTGTTAAATATTGTGGTGTACTGCCATTCTTTTGTTTCTCTTTTGCTTTCTTTCTGGTTGCTCTGTTCCAGTTCTGGTTCCCATTTGGCACAGGATTTCTACATACACCACACTTCACCCCTGACTGTGTAGTAATTGATGAGCACCTAGGCAAACATGGTGGGATTCAATATGTTGTCCACCATGCTGATTATGTGTGTTGGTAATCAGTGAATCCTAAAAAGATAGGGTAATGGACTGAGGAGTAAGTGGAGTAAGTTTTGAGCTTTTTTTTGTCATTGTAGCTTGGCATCATTGGTACTGTATGAGCTCATGTCAGTAATAAATGTGGTTAAGTTCAGTAACATTGAAATATAGTTTTCTGTTAGTGATGAGATACTCGTTTTTACACATGTAAGACTTCTTCATTTGCAAAATTGTCTCTTGAAAATAAACCTTGTCCGTGTGAATGCTGTGTGATCCTTTTGGAAACCCCCAGGCTATAGAATTGAGCCTAGTCCTTATTATAATAGGTAGCATAGTCAGAATCATTGTTGCAACAGCAAAAATAAACAGCGTCTACGCGCTCAATCATGTTTAATTAATGTGTTTCTCTATTAATATGGATGTTAATAGCTATGAGTACAGTAGAGTCTCATCTTTCGTAAGGGTTCGGGAGAGAGAACCGTCACAAATAACCAAGCTTGCATATAACCAAGTCCACCTCTCTACCATCACATACTGCACTCTACTACAGTATATACTGTAGTATGTTTGGATAAAAGACAAAAGTAACCCTTCCATAAATGATAATGAAAGTACTGATGCATTTGCTTTAAGTTACATAAAATAACATTGATCAACTAAAACATACACATAGCAATCACAAACTTACAGCAAGAAGCTAAAATAAACATTAATCCTTTTTCAATATCCAGCAGATTCTATGTCTAGCATGACCCACTACAGTGAAGAGTGCAATAAAATTTGTAGTGAGCCTGTAAAGTTGTCTCCAGACCACCTCCGTTTCATCTCGCTCTGCTGTTCTTTCATCCAAGACCCCGTAGACCAGACTGAATCACAAATAAGCAAATTCATGAAAGTTAAATTTGCAGATTACCTTACCTTACTGTAGTTCTGACTCTTAGAAAGGATAGCAGCTTCAAATTTACACAGACAAGCAAACATACAGTATGTGTACAGAATTAGATTTAAGCAGGATCAAATCTTCAAGCACTATTTTACCAAAATAAGTTTTGAGTTTTGGAATTCAGTGTTCCAGAAGGATAAGAAACTAACAGCAAAAACAACAAAAGAACTATCTGAAACATCTAGAAAACTCCAAGGTCAAAATGAAAAGGCATGAAGAATGCCTTCCCAGGAGCCGAAACAAATATATATTTAACTCCAATGCAAAGTTATTTAAATGAAGATAGATCATTTGGTTCAGGTCCAAGTTGCAAATCTATATCACTACCCAGACATACTCCAGCGGCTCCAGTCAGCAAAAAAATAGCATCTGGGAGGCCTGATTTTGTTTAAATTAAGAAAGCAATGTGGAATTTACAGCCCCAAAACAAAGCAATGTACATAACTTGAAAATAGAAATGAGGTTAAATAAATCAACTGGGTTAATAGGGTTAAATATTTGTACACACAACTCATCCCACTAATTTACTAAACATAATTTTCTAATTATGTATGGGTTTATTTCTGTTGTTTTTTTCCCTAAAAACAACACAAAAAGTGTGCCAGAGTTGATAGATGCTGTACTTGTTTGGGTATAAAACACATCTGTTAAGATGTTTGTGCTATCTATCTTTGTTTTTTTAATAAATAAGGTAAAAAAAGATCCCATGATATTATGCCTAGAGGTGTAACCAAATATAAGGCCATTGTGTACTTTATATATAGGCTCCAAAATATTTTGTACAAAATATACAGTATGTCCCACAATGACACCAAGACATCAGATGCATCATGGTGGAAACCTGTGTCAAGGCACTCACGGCAAGACCTACTGTAACGGCCTGTTGCACTTTGCCATTAGATGCAAACTATCAGCAGAACAGGTGCTTCTTTACAGGGCAGAAAAATGGATAATCACAGGGTGCCAGTGACAAAAATATTAAGCTTGTCATCCAAAATACTGCGTTGACTACAACAAGAAGTTGTATACTGTACATGTTTTCCATAATTGTTCTTCAATGTGGCAGACATTCAACTTTGTGCATGAGACACTTGTACAACTTGGTCACTTCTTATCTCGAATACTCGTCTTGCCATTTCACCACATTCACACCTATTTCCATGACAAGACATGGGGTTTCTCTACCTCCGTGAGCTTGTGATTGAATAACTGTCTGTATTGTGCCTTTTACAAGTAGAACTTGAATCATAATGCACATCCACATTTGCACATGCCTAGCTGTCTCTATAGCGATTCTTAGCATTAACATAGACAGGCACTCTCTTCTGCGAAGAAACAGGAACCACTGAAACCTTTTTCAATATTGAGAAATCTTGTTAATTTATTGGAACACCCTCACATATATATTATTCTGTATACAAAGGTATACAGTATACTTCCATTTCAGAATTTAATTACTGTACTAAAAGTGTGTTGTATAGTAAGTACTTAGATGATAAAATATCAAGATCAATATATATTTCACAATTTAAAAATGTCAATGTAATTAAAGATCTGTTAGAAAATGCATAAAATAATATTAAGCCATGTGACAGCAAATACCATGTCAGTTTTTGCTCTTTTCCCAATTAATGTCTCTTCATGGTTCTCATATTACACTTAAAATGTTCTTGTTTTATTCTTCTTTTGCATTAATTTTTTAAAGCTCATTGCTGCCATTAAAACAATATTAACCCCTGGATAGATTCTTCACGAACAAAAAAATTTAGACTGTTACTTGATGTCCATTTGTTATTTACTAGAGAATTCCTTTCTTTACTTTAAATTTCTGTGGAAAAGCAGGTTCTCTGGCATTGGAGTGCGCAGATTTGATCTGTGACTTGTCAGACCTCTGGCTGAACTGAAAAGGGCTTATTCTACATTTAGAGAGGAATGTATATACTGTATATATTTTTTATTCCAAGGATTTGTTGTGGTTAGTACAGTACAGTACAGAATATCAAAGAATGGTGTAGTATGTAGCATTTTGTTTTTACATTTGACAAAACTGCATGTTCCTTCAGTAATGCGCAAGGCAAGAAAAAAAACTGGACTGCTATAGTGTTCCTGACTAGCTTTGGATTTCATCTCCAATCTAGGGATTTCCTGTGCTTTTTTGACCTCCAAATGTGTGGACATTGGAAAAAGCAGTTCACAAACAGTCAAAATGACAGCACATGTCTCTTGTTTATGCAGTTGAAATCCTCTGGAGCATTTTCTCAAAAACAGCTGTTCTGGCCGCAGAAGTTTATTTTACTGAGAACATGGTGCAGAATGTTGCAATTTTGTGTGTGTCCTCTCTGAACGAATGGGTTTTCAGAGGAAGCAGGGTAATTACATAAATTTAAGAGTGAGTATGTTCTAAGATTTGTGTTTTAATATCACACCCAGAAAGGAAATTGAAATGGTATATGAAAGAAAATAAATATTATGGTTAGCTCCCACTTTGGGAGGACTGTGGAAGTCTGTTGTCCTGCACAGAAAGTTATGCAAATAGTTTCTTGCTTTTACTAGATGGATAATATTGTATTTGATGATAACAATTAAAGGCTATTGGATGTATGTTGTTATGTTTTCAGAATAAATAATAGTAAATGAGCAAGTAATAGGTTTATTCCATGCTAAAAAGAGAAGAGAAAAAACACAACATTTCAGCTGTGAAGCCTTCTTCAGGTGTGAAGGTGTAAATAATAGTAATGACACTATTAGCATGTAAAAAAAAAAAACTTTACTACCAGGAAGGCTGTGATTCATTGTGCTCTGCTCCTAACTCACTGAGTTTCCCTGAGCATATTATTTGACTTAACTGATGCTCTTTCTTCCTTCATTTTATGTTTGAAAACATGTATTTTGTAGGATATAAGTAATGCCATATTTAGTCTAAATTCCTGAAAATTTACATAGCTAATGACTAGGGTTCTTTTGAACTGTTTTTCCTTTGCTTAGTTATGATACAGATATGAGCTTAAATACCGTAGCTAATGTCCTGTAATGTAATGTAACCTGTACATGTCAGTTTAAGAAAAAGAAACACATCCATCCATTTTCTAACCTCTTCTTCCAATTTAGGATCGCAGAGAAGCCAGAGCCTGTCTCAACAAGCGATGGGCACAAGGCAGGGTGAACCCTGGATGTGAAGCCAGTCCATCGCAGGGCAAACAAACAGACATGCATACACTCACCCCTAGGGTTAATTTTCCCAGAAGCCAACCTACTGGACTGTGGAAGGAAACTGGAGAGCCCAGAGCAGACCCACCCTGCGAGGCAGCAATGCTAACCACTATGCCATCGTGCTACGGTCAACTGTGCTACCGGGTATTTGTTGTATATGAAGATTAGCTTTGCTCATATTCAAAATGAAAACAAAGGTGAAATTGAAAGTCTATATTGCCAGAACCATTTGTATATAGTTTTCACACACACCTTTAGGGACAGTGCTTCAAATTACACAGGTACAGTACGTGGTTTCAAGAGCTTGTGCAGGTTGTAGCTGCCCCTAGAGAAGACACTAATCAAGAGTGACTTGATAAAATCCAAGAAAGACATAAAGCATGAATAAAACAATTATGAAGTGGGTAATAGATAAACCCGTTCTGCATCTATGGATAATGAAACTGGATAATGAATCTTTGTCTGACACCATTAAGATTGTTCATTAGTCTGGATAGCTGTTAGTTATGGAACCAATTTAAAAAAAAATGTAGATCCCCTTAAATCATCAAGCTTCAAATACATAGTCAATGATCTTTATTCATGCCAAATGGAGCGAAATACATTTCAGATGTTTGGAACCACTCACATTTACAGGATACTGTTCCAGCCCTCATTGCACAAAAATGGTTTCAATGACGTAATCAAAGAAAAATAACATTTCTAACTGAAGGAAAAAGTTAGAAGTTTGGACTTGTTTTTATTCGCTGCATGAAAACACACTTAAGTTTTATTAAAATAATTCACCTGTCAGGACATCAGCTGTAAAAACACAAGATATACCAGGTATAAAAAGTATGGGGGTACAGATTTTTATAATTTTAAGCACTGGACAAAATGCAGGAAATATTTAAATTGCTCTTTCTTTCACTGACCCTACAGTATGTGTTTGTAAGCTAGCTAAAAATTGTGTTACATTAGGATAGCTTTAAAATTTCATGCCATTATTCAATAATTCTTTTTTATTTTGTAATTATTAAATTATATGCTCTATACACTGGCAAAAGTCCCTTAGGAGAGAGTCTTGATTTTTCTAGCAGAAGTTACAATTCTGTAGACCAACAGCTCTGACTTTCCAGGACTCCAAATCAAAACCTTGTACCAACGATAACCAGGGAATCACAGTTCTATTTTGAAGCAGGCAGTTGTCATGAGTGTCCTATCTTTGAGCTATCTGCATGGAAATTATCCAATTTAAAAAATATATCTATCATAGATATATTTTGTAGAACTCTGTTACCCATATGCAGGGCCAGCCATTGGTTAAAATCACACCGCTCATTACCGACCACACAATTTGCAAGCATTTTACTGCCTTACATAAGCCAAAAGGCAGATCCACAAATTACTGGCAGCACAAGTCGGTCTCCATTACTGTGCATGGCACTGAGAACAAACCAGTCCTTTTTATGTTTTTTGTGTTGTCTGTTTTCAGCAACGTTTGTATTTGTTACAACAAGTCTGATTACAGTGCATGTTTGCTCCAATTGCCATAGTGTCAAGTGACAACAGTGGAATCTGCTGAAACTCCAAGCAGCATGCTTGCGGTGACACAGAATCTTTGTGTTGAATAAAAAAAGTAAAAAGACATCTTTTCTGTACACAACTTCCCCTTTTGAAGCTTTCATTTTCTTCATGTTTGTATATGTGTATTCTAGTCCAGTCTGTCTGATTTAGGTCTGCTTTGCTCTAGTGTAGTCTAGTTCTAATTTATATACTGTACAGTATATGTATTCTATGTTCTTGTGGGTTTAAAGCAATGAAATTCTGAAGATGTACTGCATTATGAAAGTGTATCTGTGGGTTGCATGCTAACTAAATGTACTCTTTATAAGCACTCACACTGTCTTCTGTAAATTGCCTTGCCGACCAGAAAAAAATTGAATAGATTTTAAATGTCATCTTCTCACTTTAAAGGTACAAAACAGTCTAACACCAGATCAATTTAACAATATATTGTAGGAGTCTGATCTTAGACCTGCTGATTCAGACCATTTTTCTCTGTTGAAGATCAGACTCCACACAATAGGTGAGAGAGCCTTCTGGTGAGCAGTATCACACCACCTCATCCCATTAGAGACTCTTCACCTGTCAGTTTTCATTGACATTAGTGACCAATCTTTTCACTATAGCTTCTAATGTACAATTTTATTTTACTCATGGTTTTACTGAGCCAGTTTGCTGAACTTTTTTTCCTCTATCATTTTACTTCTGGGCAGATTATTTAAACAGCTTTACTGTATGTACCTGGAATCCTTTGAAAAGTGCCCAAAATTCAAATTGTATTATTGTTTAAGTATTAATATTCTTACCTGTTTTTTCTCCTATATCTCCTTTATCGCCTTGGCCACCCTTTTCTCCTTTTTCACCTCTTTCACCTAGAAGAAAAAAAAACAAGGACATGAAATATGCTACGATGGACTGGCTTCAATCCAGGATGTATCACACTTTGCACCCAATGTTTCCTAGGATAGGCTCCAGGCCAGCATGACCCTGAATTGGATAAGCAGTTATTGAAAGTGATGTTATGTGATGATGAGATATAAAAAAGGCATAGTGTGTATTATCAACAGGAATTTTTCTTTCAGTCATTCAGAGAACAAAGCCCACGGAGCATTGTAAAGTCTTAATCCCTACCTTACTGTATATACCTACACATTGTCTGCATCCTTTGGACTCTGGCCTTCTTTCAGTTCCCAACATAACTCCGAACAACTCCGAACACTTGGATACCAGGATTACTGTTCAATTGTTCCAGGACAGTGACATGATCTCCAGCCATGATCTACGTGTCCATTTTCTATCTGCTTCTTCCAATTCAGGCTCATGGGGGGAGCCAGAGCCTATCCTGCCAAGCAACAGGTGCAAGACAGTCTACACGCTCGATGGGATACAAGTGCATCGCCGTACACACAGACAAAGATACACTAACACCTATGGCCAATTTACCCTGAAGCCTGCTGGAGGAAAACCATACAATCCCAAGACCCCAGCACTGTGAGGCAGCAATGCTAACAGCTGACGCCCCCATGCTGCCCCAAGCCCATACAGACATACAGACAGGCAAATCTGTCAACACTTTCAAACCCTGTCTTAAAACTCACTTTTACTCTAGATTTAAGGTACTGTTTAAGGTACTGTACTGTTTAAGGTACTGTACTGTGGTCAGTTCCTTATTTTATTTGATATATTGTACAGCATCTTGAGATGATGTGGCATGAGCCATGCTATATAAAATAACATTGGTATCATTATATGACACAGTGTTTTAAACAATCCAACAATAATAGGTCATAAAGAAATAAAATGCTAGAAAAGCACAGGAAATGCCTGGGAACAACCACATTTCTAATATATAGACTGTACGTGCATTGTGTTTAACAGCCTTCAGTTATATGTGTAGTTAATGCAAACAAGTGACAACAGGTCAGCTTATTCAGCATTAATGTCTAAAGAGACAGTGAATGTATCACTTTTATTTTTTACTTTTTACCCACACCAAAAGCATCTAATTATAAACTTTTCCCTATTCATCTTCCACAAAGTGAAAATGTTCCAGACCTTTATGAGAAAAGGCACTGGGGTGGAAATACTTGTTCAGTAAGATAATTAATGTTGTGAACTTCTGTAAGTCATTTTTTTTTTTGCTCTTCAACAGGGTCATAATATCTCGCTTTATTAAGAATCCCATACAGTCTATCTCAACTGGTGTCCCATCTGGGAACACAGAGAGTGGTTAGTTCCATGAAAACCAGTGTTATCTCTGACCCAATGAGCTGTTGTGGCTCAAATACAGAAATTTCCTGTTTACACACAGTGTCTTCCTCAGCATTGACAACTGCTTATGAATAATTAAAATCACTGTGTTCTGCTATTGGAAAATGGTTGTTAATTAATTAATTTATTAATTTAATTTAATTTTGTTTTTGGTTATTTGCATTTGAACTACCGGCTGCAGTCTTTGACACAATTTTGACTTTGTTTAACCTTTTGTCTGAATGAGTATTGTCTTGGTCAAGATGTATCTAATTAAAGGATCAGAGTTTCAGTTCTGCTTTCTTAACTACAGCAGCAGTTTAAACAGTCATATTAAATAAGACTCTAATTACTTTCCAGATAGAGATCAACTAGGAAATAAATTAACCAGACTGTCTAAACTCCCTATTACTGGATATCTCTAGATATATGTAAATTGACCATATTTCTTTGATAAATATAAACTGTATGATTTTTAAGATTTCCATTTAATCCGACATGGTAAAGAGAAAGAATATTCATAGGATTTTTTTAAACAAAAAGAAAATAGTCCAGAGTTATTAAACGATGCTAAAAATATTTTTAGACAGGCTTAACATTTTTTTCTTTTTCGATGTATTTAACATTGTCAAGTGTTTGAAGCATTTGAACTACAGAAACAACTGTAAATGGTTGCTAACAGATGGCACACGTCTCATTCTTTGCCCAATGCTGTATGTAAATTCCATATGAGTTTGTGGAATTGATACTGCTGACAATAGATGAGGTTGAGGGAGAAAACAGATTTGGTATTAGACTCCCTGGTGCACATTCTCTATGTGATATATGACATTTCAGTAGAGATCTTGAGAATTATCTTGCTGCAAGTACAGGAGTTAAGATTTTTTAAAGATATATACAGTATTACCACAAAATGGCCTCAGTGGATACATACCTTTTTGTTTCTTCTCTGCAGTACAGTTGGCCTCAACTACTGTACATCCCCATTGAGGCCATTTACTGTTAACATATACTGTATCTCGTATGAAATATTCTATTGAGGAATACTTTATGTACAGTAGTTTTTGCCGGTATAGTGTGCAAAGAGGTTTTGAACTGAATTCTTGTTTGTTTTTTGGTTCTGATATAAGAAAGAGAAATAAAAATAATTACAATGCACAGTAGTTGAACACAATTTAAAAGAAAATAAAAGGCTTCTAATATATAATATTACAGTATTTTATCTAATTGCTCTGCTGATACCAATGATTTGCCTGTACTGTATATTTTTCGTATAATGTTTTCTAGTAAACTTCAATATGAATACAGTATTAGCCACTGAAAACCATAAGATACACATGAATCACATATTTAAAAGATGTTAATTGTCTTTAGGATTGGCACTGATACAATTCACTTTAATAAAGCATGTACAAAAGTTTATTTAAGTTCATATGGGGCAAAGAAAAACAACTGAAAAATCAGCTTTGTGCTCCTGAGGGATAAAGGCACTCATTTAAGTAAGCAGGAATTGCACCCAGAACAGGACCACTAAATGCAGGGTATCATTCAGGGAAAACCACATCCTTGCCATAAAATATTCAGTGGCAAATACATTTCAAAAACAGAATTCAGACTTGCAAAGTGATCCCCAGTCAGGTTATAACCAACAAAATTGAAAAAAGTCTTATCTTTTAGTGAGGCATATTTCAAAGTATTCGTATAATTTATTTCAGTGTAGATGTCATTTTAAAATGTAGTATGGCTTTAACATTTTAGTTCCGTTTAATCCACTGCATCCTGAATCAGACTTACCTTATTACTTCAGTATATAGTAACTGAACTATTTTCTCAACTTAATTTTCTATCTAGTCCCTGTATGGAGTCCTCACTTTTGGAAATAGTCAACAGTAGGTGTATATTGTCCCTGAATACATTTAGCAAAAAGAACAAGAAATCCATTATTAATTTTATATTAATCATCTAGATATGAGTTCAGTGAAACAATACATTCAAGTGAGTTGTTGTTTCAGCACAAACACCTGGTTCAGCATTAAGGCTATTTTCCTGTCTTAATCATAGAGCTGAAATCATTTAAAAATTACTTTTATGGAAGCAGTTAGATTTCAGAGTACAAAGCTCTGTTAGAATAACAACTAGAAGATACAATGTGGGAACCATTAATTTAACCTTATGATGTTAAACTACATGACTCTGCCTGACAATGACACTGAAAACAGTAAATTAGTGTAAATATAATAATAAATAGTACAGTTGTATTCCAGGGTTGTTATTATTGGATCATTGGATTGGCTGACAGCTTTAGAAAGAGACGACCTAAAATAATCTCCAACAGCTGGCTTTTCAAAGTTTCTTTGGGTGTGACAACAAATAAGTTATGAGTGTGATTTTGAGTGCTATGCATTAAAATATGCTTAGATGTGATATTTTTAAGCAGTTTGCTACACAAATATACCGTATCTAAATAGCTAAATGAATGAAAAGAAAACTTTGTGAAAGTATTTTTTAAATTTATATTGACATATTATAAAATATATATATATAAGGAACAAGTAATAGGTTTATTCCATGCTGAAAAAAAGAAGAGAGAAAACACAACGTGTTGTTGAGTTTTCTCTCTTCTTTTTTTCAGCATGGAATAAACCTATTATTGTTCCTTTGCAGCCTATGCATGCTGACGCAGCTACCCACCTGAACAATATATATATAATATATATAAGGTATAAATACAGTAATCAACATAGGCAACACAGACTTAATTAAATGTAATTCTTGGGTCGAATAGGCAATTATAGTGACCAAGGAGAGGGAGCAAAATTCATATATGTTAATATTCACAAATACATGGGCAGCAGATGGCAGCTGTGGAAGGTTGGTGAACGTGCCTACAGAGCAAACCAGGTCTATACCAGCAATCTGAACGTCAACAAATTCATACAGTACTAAGAGTCATCAAAACTTCAAAAGCAGCATCCTCATTGTGGATCTGGATGGTTCTCACTACTGGAGGACAGCAGCTTTCATTCAAAAAGAGGGCTGAACATGTAACAAGCCGAATGATCCCATTGGTTGCATCTTTGGCATGATGGGATGATGGGGGTGGCTCTGGCCTGTGAAGACAGCGCTACACACTGCTCCAGTCTGCTTGGGCGCCTGGTGGACACCGCAGGGTAGGCCGAAGGAAACATGGTGACAAATAACATGGAAAGATCTCAAAAGCACTGGCCTTAAAAGAAGCCCCAAAAGTGGCATATGACCAGGAAAATGTTACCTCTAACACAACAGACAACTTTAGCATAAATTGGATATTTATACTAAATATAACGGTTCTTGGGGATTCCGCCCTTGTCACTCCTGCCCTGCCAGTTTGTCCCTCACTGCGTGGGCACGAACCCAGGTCTCCGGCATCACGCAACAGGGAACTTGCCTGCTGAGCTAAAGGAGCCTGGGCATATTTATGACATAAAGATTTCTTAAATAGATTTTTTCCATTTTATATTTTATATTTAGACTATATATATACAGTAATCCATAATTCTAAATACAGTTTTTAATACTTTGCCAAACTACATACACTTTTAATCTAGTACTCTTAAGATTTCTTTTCCACCTTGGGAATATAAAATTAATAAAAAAAAAATTATATACAGTAGAACCTTCCAAATCCTGAGCACAACAAAAAATACATCACAGCTATGAGCTTAAGTATGGGCTTTAAATGTCAGACATCTATCTTCTGTTTGTAATTATGGTGTATATGTGTTAATGAATCAATGAGAATAGAAAATGTACTTCATTTGCTAATATAAGGACAGCAAACACAAAAGAGATTTAAAACCTTTGGAAAATAACTGCAATTTTTTCTAACCTGGCTTCTGAACATTGTGTTGTTTCTTCCCAATGGGGGGAAGCTCTATAAGAATCTATTGAAGCAGCCTTTTCAAATAGAGGTCTATAATGAAGATCTGCCACTCTACCTTCCCTCGTGCATATGTTGGCAAAGCTTTGTAAAGAAGCTCTCAGTCACAGCAGGATTTGAAAGGTCACTCTCTCAAGCAGTCACAGTAGGCTGCCATGAATGGATGTGAGAGGTAGGTGTTCCCGCTAAGAGTTTCAAAGGCAAGTGCTTGGATTCCAAGGGTGACCTGACAATGGCATTGATGGGCCAGCAAGAGACAAACCTTCAATACCTTTGGGTCCGGGCTCTCCTTTCTGCCCAGGCAGACCGTCATTTCCAGCCAGTCCTTTCAGGCCCCGGGGACCTTGGATGCCCTTTTCTCCAATCAATCCTGACGAAAAAAAAAGAAAAGGCCTTTCTTTTAAGGAACACGACACATGTTTTGTCTTAGTCCCAATCCTGTTTTCCAGGTGTGTGTTTTTTTTGTGTGTGTGTGTGAACTGCAATGACTAAACATTTAGAAAATGACATTACCTCTTACTCCAGGTAGACCTGGTAGACCCGGGGCCCCTAATGCTCCAATGTCTCCCTTTTCACCCTTTGGTCCAGGAGGCCCTTGGAAAAATAAGGGGAAAAAAAAGTTATTGCAGGATGGATACAGTGACAAAATTATCAAGGATATACTGTAACATAGAACAAAAAAAAAATTTCACAAAGTGAATATTATATGCTGTGAGAAACAAATCTTAAAGGTCTCCCCAAATAAATATCAAAATGTATTTAGAAATCAGATACGGGAACAGTTTTCTGCTAATCCATTTATTCATTACAAAGACATGCTAAATGCAAAATAAAATGTTTGAACAGGCAAGAGACACCCCCACTGGTTTGTTGTCCTTGGCTGTAGTTTCATGTATTTCTCGTATTCTTGGTGGCCTGAGGGATTCTCAGTTGGTGACTTGTATCCTTTAGTCCCTGTTTACAGTGGCTCTTATTCAGACATTTGCCTCATCTACCCAAACCTAACTAATCTCCTGTAAACTTAGAAATAGTTATTCTGTGCTTTTTCTCCATAGGATTGATGCAGAGGGGTATTTCAGTATATACTATATACTGTGGTACTGTATATACATTAAAAGTGTTAGCTTCCTTTGATTGCATAAAAATTAAATTCAGTTCAATTTAAAATAATTTACTCATCTCAGGAGGGCAATTTAAGCAGCAAGCAGTGCAACATACAACACAAGACAAAATCAAAGACAAACAAAACAAACATAGAACATTAAGAAAAGGTATACTTAGGTTTCACAGTTAACGGACCATAGAAATGATTGAAGTAACTGTGTGTAGTATTAGGGAAGTGTTAGTACATGCACATTTGTGGAGAGGTAGGGGAAGTGGGCTCTGTCCAATGGACATCATTTACAGTCATTGTTTGAAAGGCTAATGGCCTCTGGAGCTAAGCCAAATTTCCTTTTATTTGTCTTGCACCGTGGACAGTGAAAGCATCTTCCCGAAGGTAGAAGATCAAAGGACTGAAGGTGAGATGGGTCTTCAATGATGGCACAGGCCTTCCTCGGGATCGGCTGTGTGTACAGCTGTGCCAGAGGTCTTAAAGGCTCACCAACGATGTTAGTGCTGAAGTGTACAACATTTTGAAGGTGGTGCTTGTCTTTCTGACTGAGTGAGCTGAACCAGCAGATAAAATAAAAAGTTAAAATATTTTTGATAAAAAACTACAAAATGTTGAAAAGATTCTTTTTTTGGACTCCAAAGTACTCTCTCAGCTTTCTCAGACCATATACTGTATGTGCTGCTGGGATTTCTTCACAATGACATCCGTGTTGGACTACACCAACAGACTTACCATGGATTTGGGTGGGAATGATATTGCTTTGTTTTTTAAAATCTGCAATCATTTCTTTTGTTTTTGACACATTCATCTCTAGGTAGGAAGTATCACACCAGTTCACAGATTTGTCCAGAATGGGTCCATGTGTTTGTCTAGTCTCTGAGAGGAGAGAGACTTATACACTGTCATCAGCAAACTTGATGATATAATGATATCATGATACTCATAGTTGATTACCAGTAAAGAATGCGAGAGAACATTTCATTTCTCAAATAAGAGCTTAATACACTTAAAACACTACTAAACCAAGCCAGGGTACACAGTACCAGTGTTACCAATTGCTCAGCTCTTGCAATAATAACCAGTCTCAGAACTTCAAGAGTAAGCTTGTTGTCCATGAAACTCAATTGTCTGAAATGTTTCACTGTTTGTGGGATTATAAGGATATGAAATAAATTAAGATAAACCAGCTAGGTAAAAAAAAGGGGTCCTTCTGGATAAAAACCCCAACTATTTGGTAGTTTGTCTAACTGGGGTGATGTTATTGTTTTCTTCACCTTTTTGGACCCCTGGGTTAGCCTTTAATTACCCACAGAAGATTCAACAAAAATAAACCCGAAGTTCACATCTCTCTTAGCGCATAGTTTTGGATCCACATCAACATGATTTCTGTTAAAACTCCATTTCCTCCTCAGCCCTGGTTGGGACAGCTGGGAATTTTTCATGGCTTTCTGAATGACCTGGGGCAAGGAGAATCCTACATTTGCCTTTCACTCTCTTTTAGTTGTAGTGCTACACAGCAGAGTTAAGATCTGGCAAACTTGAAAAAAACAACATCTATTACAGAAAATGAATTTTAATACTTGAATTATTTATCTTCAAATTTCAGTGTGACAACCAAATGAGAAAACTCAAAACATCTCAGGATGGTTCCAGGTTTTATTAACTGTGTGTAGGCTATTTGGAGTGGAACAAGCATATAAGATGAGAATGAAAATTATTCTCTGGAACTAGAGAGTATATTACAAACTACCCATATGTCCAGTATTATGTACTGCATATCATATATGTGCTGTAGTTTGTGTTCTATCATTTGTTGCTTCATGGTGGTGTTCTCCAACAAACAATAGAGCTCACCTCAAAATCAGAAACATTGAGGCTACCAGTCATCTCAAAACATCTCAAAAAGTCAACTACACCAATTTCCAGCTTCAATGTGATGGGCAGGGTCAAGTCTGCAGAGTATAGATTCAATTCATCACACCTCATTTCAGAGCATAAAGAGGGTGTTGACTAGAAATCCTCTGGCAAGCAAGCCATGATGTCTAGCAAGCAGCTCTCAAGGTACACAACAGTGGTGGCTCAGTGGAAAGCTGAAGCTAATTCTTCCCTTCTGGCTCACGGCAGCTTACAATCAAATCAATGTTAAAACTGCTAAATCGTTTTTTAATTGCAAGCTTCTATCCCCTTCCTTTTTACCTACAGTAGCTGTTACTCTGGAAATGGCATGGTGGAACAGTGGTTAGCATTGCTGCCTTACGGTGCTAGGGCCCTGGGTTTAATTCCTGGGGTGCTATCTGTATGAAGATGTTCTCCCTGTGCTCATTTAGGTTTTCTCTCGGTGCTCAGGTTTCCTCCCTCAGGCTGAAGATGCTGTGCTGGTAAGTTAATTAGCTTCTGGGAAATTATGCCTTTCATTGAGTGCGTGTGTGCTTGCCATGATAGAATAGGACCTCCTCTGTGACAGTGAATTGGATAAAGTGGTTAGAAAATGGATAGATATTAAAGCAGTACTATTGATAAGTGAGGAATAGAAAAGGTCAATCATGGTACAATAAGACAGTTACCTCATCACAAGTAAGATAACAGCTTTGTTTCCATTAACCATGGACGATGTGCTGTGGATAGAGGAACTTAATGCCTGTATTTACAGTATACTGTACAATATACAAAAACAAATCGTTTAGTCCATTGCAGTATATGTTGATTGAGGGACTGAGTGAGATTGACAGATTGTGGAAGGGAATTTTGTGTTCTTTGTGTTCAAATTATTCCCTGCTATTTTGTTGTTTTATGTGACTTTCCTCTAATAAAGTCCTGGGTTTGTAACTGTGTCTGACTAACTGATCTTGCCTCTGCTTACCTGAAACCTGCTAGACTTGAGCCTGTCACAATATTATGTACGTAAGTGGAAATGAATGCATTTGTATTTTACATTTATTTTAATGCATTTTACAGCATGGTTCAGCATGTTTTTTTAGACCAGATTAAATAAACATTGCTTAATAAACAATAGGTGGTAGGTACAGATGCATGTTTGCTATTGATGTTATTTTTGTAACTGGTACTGTGAAGCTAGAGGCTGCTAAATAGATAGATACAGTACTTTATTAGTAACACTTTATTGATCCAGAAGGGAAATTGATGT